CAGCTGCCGGAGCCGCGGGAGCAGCGCTGCGGGGCCGGGCGAGCAGCGGGGCCCATGGCATTCCCAGAGCCGTTCCGAGCTGTGTCATTCCGAACCGTTTTGAGCCGTGTCGTGCCGTTCTGAACCGAGCCGTGCCGAACCGTGCCGTGCCACACTGTGTGCCGTGCTGGGGGAGGTTTGGGATGTGGAGAGGCAGCTCAGCCCTTCGGTTGAGCCTTCTCGGGCTAAGGCAGCAGTTTGCCATCCTGCTCTTTCTTCTTGTCAATGGAGACCTCACTGGCAATAAAGCCAGTGGACAGGACAGGAGATTTATCCCTGGCACAATCCCCAGCAGAGATTGAATCTTGGGAACAATTCCTGCCTGGCAAGGGTTGTCAGGGCCTGGCCCAGGCTGCCCAGGGCAGGGGGGGAGTCCCCATCCCTGCAGGGGTTTCCAAGCCCTGGAGATGGTGCTGAGGGACATGGGGCAGTGGGGGCCTGGGCAGGGCTGGGGGAACAGTTGGACTCAATAGTCTTTTCCAACCAGAACCATTCTATGATTCGATGACTCAGTAATCCTGTGCTCTCTGGTGGACGAGGCTGTCCTGGTCTGGGAGCATCTCAGGTACTGGGATTGCCCCTGCTGAGGTGCTGAAGCACCAGTGTTGCTGCTCCCTGCCTGATGACCCCTTCTTATATCCCAAGGGACTGGGAAGGTGCAGGGTCCCCCCCTTCAGCCCCCAGCTCAGCCTGCACTCCCCTGCCCACTCAGCTGGCACAGCCCCAGCACATACACCTGATTATGACATTTCCTGACAGTGGCTCTGCTGTCCTGGGGTGGCTTTACTGGCTGTGGCAATGGCAGGTGCAGTCCCCAGTGTGCCCAGGTACAAGTGCCCTCATGGCCGGGCAGTGCCAGTGGCTCTGCTGCTGCTGGCTGTGCCAGGGGGCTGTGCTGGGTTGTCCCAGCACAGTCCCAGTGCCGGGTGTGCACGGTGATGTGTTGTTGTCATCTCAGTTTTAGCCTTTGCTCCCAGGCTATGTGAGTCAGTGCCAGGGGACGAGGAGCAGAAAGAACTGTGGGCCCTGCTGGGCTGTGGCAGCAGCTCGGAGGGACACCAGGGGCTGGAGTGCAGCCCCCACATGGTGCAGGAGAAGGGGGGTGATCCTTGGGCTGCACTTTGACAACCAGCACCTGCTCCCCTGGAGCAAGTTGGCTTTGGGATATGGTGGGGTGGGCACCAGCACTTGGAGGTCCTTGTCCCACCACTCCACGGTGGCAGAGGAGGGTCATTGCACACACTGGCACTGGGTGACTGTGGGGAGCAGCCACTGCACCGTGCCCAGTGAACGCCCATCGCCCGCTGCTGCTGGCCACTCTGACGTGGGACCCTCATCTGAATTGCTCCTCTCGTGGGCAGCCTTGCAGAGGCTGGAATATTTGAGTTGCTAATTTCTTTCTCCCTGGAATTAGGCAGTGTATCCTGCAGCCCCTAGGAGGCCCTGCCAGACACCACAGCCCCTGCAACCCCCAGCAGCCCCACTCCTGCAGCACCCCAGGTACAGACAGACCATGTGGGGCTCAGCTCCCTGGCCTCGCACAGGGGAGACTGCTGGAAGGAGAGCCATGTCCTCTGGGATGCCCACCTTCCCACCTGGGAGGTTACAGGGACACATCTCTCTCCCATCCAGGGTCTGACTGAGACCATTTTCCACCATCTATGACCAGAAGAAATCCTTGGTGCTCCTGGTTAACCAGCAGCCAAGGGAATGGGTGACCAGCTCAGGCTGTGGGGTGCAGGGATGGACACTGGTGTCAGGCTGGGAGCACCAGGGCTACCAGCAGCCCCTGTGGGGGAACAGCCACTGGCCCCTCCTCATCCTCACCCAGAACAGAAGTGCACAGGTGGGAGAGGATGTAACAAAAATAGTGTCTCCACAGAATTTATTGAATTCCCATTAAATACAGCCACTGTTCCCCTGGCCGTACGTACACGGGGGGCTTCGACAGATTAAACCGAACGGTTAAAAATATAAAAGCTGGTGCTACCCAAACCCTACCATCAGAGGGAGGGAGAGGAGGAAGGAGACGTGGTCAGTGCTGGGATGGTGCCCCCGTGCTCCTGGCCCGCCGGGCACTGCTGGTCACAGGAACCAGAAGCATTTGCGCCGGGATTTCTTCGTGTCCAGCTTCCCGGGCAGCTTCGTCACCGGCGACGGCTCCTGCCGGGGTGGCAGGGCAGCCTCTGCCACAGGGGAGCTCGGGGCTGTGTCACCCTCGATGTGGCTCAGCACCCGCTGGAAGCGACCCTCCTGCTGCCGGAAATCGTGCTCCACGCTGCGGGCAAGGGGACAAAGGGGACAGTGTTAGGGGCCATCTCACACTGTGGCCCCCACACCTGCTACATCTAGCTGGGATGCCCTTCAGGCAGTGCCTGCCCACCCCCTCGCCTGAAGGGGCTCTAGTGAGGGATGGGGGTTGGACCCATCCCAAAGAGCCGTCCTACCCCAGGCAGCACACGCTGCAGCAGGACACCTGGCACCGCACGGCTAAACCTTCTGGGACCTCTCCTTCCAGGCAGACACACGGATAAACACTCACTGACCTGCTGGCAGGAGGCATTTTGGGATGGGTCAGCAATGGGGTGGCTTTCTGGGCGTGCTGCTCCATCCCCCGAGTGCTGCAGGGTCCCTCCCAGACCAGCCTTTACCAGTGACCTGCCCAGGGCTGGGAGCCCGGCTGGGGTCCAGTGCTGGGGCAGGGGAGCGAGCCCAGGGTCTGTGGGACCCGGTTCACTGAGTCCCCTGGAGAGGGGCTGCATGTCCCTGGGGCCAGAGCCCCTTGTCCTTGATGTCCTTGATGGGCTGAGTGCAGCTGCAGCATCAGGAGGGGGCTGTGCTGCTGCCTGTCACTCCACAGTGGATGCAGGGAATTTGGGCTCCCCGGGGCTGGGGAGCTGGGGGGGGCTGTGCTCCCCACCACAGCCCACAGGTTTCCTGCCACACCGGAGCCCTCCGGCGCCCCCGCAGCACCCGCAGCACGGGGCAGCCACGTGCTGTGCTGCCTCCCGGCATGGAAAGTGCTCTGCTCTCCTCACACCAGCTATGTCCCATCGGATCAGCGAGGTGCTGCCATGTGTGCCTGGGACCACGCACGTGGCACACACGGGGATCACCCTGTGAGCCCCATGCAGCATGCTAACACCTCCTGTCACCTCACCCTGTGAGGACACTGCTTGTTCCCAGCTATTTCTAGCAAAAGGAGTGAGCTGTGGCAGCCCCTCAGCAGCACGGGGACCCTGACTCCCCAGCCCTGAAGAGGAGGAAAGTTTTGGGGTGCACACCTGGCGCATCCCAGGAGGCAGGCGGGTGGGTCTGGTCTCTGCTGCAGGCGATCCTTAAAACCCAGCATCCCGGCTCCCTGCACCCCAGCTCCTGGCACCCCACACACGCAGCACTGCCCCTGCTCCCCGTGTCCCACCAGAGCCGCTTCTCATCACGAGGATGGCAGTGAAGCCCAGAGGGAGACCCCAGCAGGAGCCTGACACTTAGAGGGAGCCACGTCCCCCAGATATCACATCTCTCCCCTCCGCAGAGCCGCCTGCAGACACGCTCGTCAGAGCCAATTAGCACTGAAGTCCCCACGAGCTCCGGCGGAGTTCGTGGTGTAAATCAGCGGCGAACAGGGAAGAGGGCCGCGGAGGAAGGCGCTTCCGCACCCCGACCCAAAGCTGATGCCAGGGAAGCAGAGCCGAGTCCCTGTGGTCCTGGACCCCAGAGAGGGGCAGGAACGCCCTGCGCGACCGGCAGCCCCCCCGCAGCATCTGAGCGACGCTGGCACCGGGACAACGAGCTGCAGCCTGGGCTGGGAGTGAGCCAGGCAGCCCCGCCCCCAGCCACTGACAGGGCTTTCCCGATATTACTGCTTTTACAGACAGTAACTGCTCAGCCATGGAC